CATTCGTTCTCAGCACGGCTCTCACACACTTAAATCGTATCGATCAGCTCTGTCCTACCATCTTACAAAAACGGAGAATTCTCGTATCCATAGTCTAAATTATAATTTTATAGCGACCAGACCCGGCTCCGCAAATTTCTCCTCCATTTAATGGCTGTCATTACACATATAAACCATCCTCTTAAATCACTTTATCTATAAAAGAACCGCATCAAAATCCGTTGCGTAGTTTTAAAGATTTAAGCGTGCATAGGGATATAGGGACAGAGAAAGCGACTTTGTTTTATACTATGTAGTGATATTGCCTTGTTTTTTGGGGTGATAATTATGCATTGTTTCTTTATTCAAATACAAATTATATTGACTTTACAAAACATTAAAAAAAACAATCATAATTAGTGGATAGCGGTTTATGAGACTGAAAAAGGGGTTGGGGAAGGGGAAAGATTGAATCCGGCAACTTAACTCACACGGCAAAACACAATGCTGTGAAACAACTTTCACGCTGGTTTTCTGTGAGGCCGTGGTATCACTCAGGTCGAGCCGACCCATTCGTGCCGAAGCGTGACTCTCCCACACTGCATCAGCCTATAAGTGCCCACTGCTGAGCAAAGGCCTCTTCTCACACGGAGAAGGTTTGAGCATTAACCACCACGCTTACTCAAGGCAGATTGGCGACTTTCAAACTTATAATTAGAGATTATTAGTCCAGCTTTCCTCACGATGTTTTCCTTCACCGTATGTCAGTGGTGTCTAAATAATCATAGAAAGTACCTACATATATTACATGCCATGATTTTTTTATAAAAATGTAGACTCGTTTGTTTGTTCGAGTTCGACAAACGAGGCTAACACAAAACAGAATCCAATTGTATATATATATAAATAAATAATTATGAACAAACATACAATACAATAAAACGCACGCTTTGATCTATTTAACCAACTCGAGATCAAAGTGCAATGCTGTGTTTACTAATATTATATTTCGTTATCAAACACAATTAATCTTATTCCATATATATTTATAGTGTTTTGTTTTCAAGATTTATTGTTCAAAACTGTGTTTTGTTTTTTATGATAAACGAGCAGACGGATTACCTGATGGTAAGCAATCAGCGCCGCCCATGGATACTCCAAAGACCAGAGGAATTACTTGTGCCTTTTTAAAGTGTAACGATGCAGTTCGCGTGGAATAGTGACTTCCTGTACATTTTTGGTTATACCCACACAGTCCCGTTCTCGCGTGGTTTTCGGGATAAAAACTACCCTATGTCTATATTCTCTAATTTCACACAAATCGGTTCAGCAGTTTAGGCGTGAAGAAAACAGAGACAGACAGATTTACTGTCGCATTTTTATAATATGAGTTTAGATTAGGAACAGACACTCTTATCTATATACATATCATATATATACAGTATATCTATACTTATAATAAACTAGCTGCTCACCCCCGCTTCGCACGGCTCCAACTATCTCGCTATCAAAGGGTCACTTTTTCCTAATCTTCCCCTCTACTTATCTAACATTTTCTTTAATAAGAACCTTCTCCTGACAATAACAAATACAACAAAAAAAAGAATAAGCGAAATTGGTCCAGGCGTTGCCGCGTTGTCGAGTTATGCGCTTACCAACACATTCTGCGATCCATTTTTATATATGTATAAGATCTGAAGAGAGGTCAATTCTGTACATTAAATGCATTTTCAAAATAACTACCAGGTGGTGATAAGTGATCGATACTGATGGCAAAAATGCAATCAGTAAAATTTTTGTCTGTCTGTCTGTTCCTTATAGAAACAATAACTACTCGACGGATTTTAATAAAACTTGGTACAATTATACTTTATACTCCTGGGCAGGTTATAGGATACTTTTCATCACGCTACAAATAATAGAAGCAGAGCAGTGAAGGGAAATGTTGGAAGAAGTTAGTCCCTTTTTTAAGGTACCGTCGCGTGTGTAGCCTTAATGGCTGAAGTTACATAGAAATTATGTATGACAGAAATATTCTACATACAATTATCAAAAAAAATTGTTTTACAGCATATGCCTACCTTTTATGGATACCACGGCCTCACATAAAACCAGCATGAAGCTAAACTTTGAAAACTTGTATTTCGCCGTGTGAGTGAGGTTACCGGAGGCCTAATCTTCAAATCCCCTATCCTTTATTCCCTTATATCCTACAAGAAACCGGCAATGCACTTGTAGTAACTCTTTTAGTACTACGAGTGTCCATGGGCGGCACCGATTGCTTACCATCAGGTAATCCGTCAGCTCGTTTGCCGACTTACGACATAGTAAAATACGTCTAGATAAGTTTAAACGTATTATTATTATTATTTTGTCCAAACGGAGAAACGAATTATCGAGTCCAAACACGCTCGCTTCCATAAAAACATATAATTATCGTAGCCAACCAATTATGGATTGATTAATTGATAAAATGCTATAGCCACCTCTTCGTTCCGACGTGAGAAACTATTAATTTCATTAATTTAAAACAACTATACTATTATTCAACAATTTGTTAGTTTGTATGTAGGGGGTAATCTTTGGAACAGCTGGTCGGATTGCCGAAATTCTTTCACTGATAGATAGCTACAATGTTTCTTAGTGCTAACTATATCTATGTATATTATCCATATCCTATGTGTTAGGAAGTACTCCAAGACAAATCGAATACACACGGGAAAAGCCGCGGGCGTAACGCTAGTCAATTACCTATATATATTTTAATTAATCTTTATAAGGTTTTGAAATCACGTGTTAATTAAATTTTCGTTTATAACTGTCATTAAATTTATTTATTAATTATACAAACATATAATTGAATAGTTTAATAGAAATTGTGTTGTAATGTTTGTAAGAGCAAATCTCGAAAACGGCTGTATTGATTGGAGTTATTCTCTTTAGACATTCGTTAGTTAATAATATTATAAACGCGAAAGTGTGTAAGTACGGATGGATATTTGTTACTCTCTCACGTAAACAGTACTGAACGGATCTGAATGTAATTTGGCACAGAGATAGATTATAGCCTTTTTTTGTGAGGGGAAAATCATCAAATGACTTCTCCCGCCCAGGGTCGGGCGGGAGGGAGTGTCAGACACTTACTGACTAAAAACCCCCCTGTTCCTTCTCCTGCTCTGGGCCGAGGTCGCAGTGCCTCATTGCGCTTACCCCGCAACCCCGGCTGAACATCAGCCCTATAGGGCCCCGTCTGTGGTGGTCTATTGGCTCTTCGAGGCGCGCGCGGAACGCTACGCGCCGCACGCTCGGGTCTGGTTCTGGTCGGGCGGCGAGCTACCCTTACTCGTCGTCCGCAGACCCGCGCTTACGGTGGCTGGAATGATATATAGGTTACTTTTTAGAGACCTTTGGTACTGCTTGCGAAACCGCTAACTGAAAATAGTATTCGAGAAAATCGAAGGACATTACATAACTACCCTATAAGTTTCCACTGCTGAGCAAAGGCCTCTTCTCACACGGAGAAGGTTTGAGCATTAATCACCACGCTTGCTCATGGCGGATTGACGATTTCAAACTTACAATTACAAATTATAAGTACAGGTTTCCTCACGATGTTTACCTTCACCGTATGTCAGTGGTGTCTAAATAATCATAGAAAGTACATATGACTCGGAAAAACTCACATTGGTACTTGCCAGGTTTCTTTCTTCATAAATGAGTAGCGGACGCCTTAACCTCCCAAGCCACCACGACTAATTGTGATCAATAATTACAATTAATATGTCCAATAAAATCTAAACGCTATTAGTAGAGATTAAAGGTTTATTATCGGTTGTAAATGTTACTGTTTTTATGACTTTACTATGATTTGATGATAGATATAACACTCAAGTTTTACGCGTGTCATTATCTTAAGGGTTAGATAAATTAAAATTGAAAATGAATTACTTTAATTTTTTTAAACGTTGCCCCTATACTAGGATTTTCTCCAGTGTCGTGGGTGCGTTTACAAACATACAATGGGGTAGTTTCCTAGGTCAAAAATAAATTATTTCGACGTTTCAATACCTACAATAAAATATTGAAAAATTATGGTTATTTTTAGTTTAGTAGTATATATTAGTAGTTTATTTACTTTTAGTCATCGATCGATCGATATACTCATTTTTAGATTTTTTTTAGCTAATTATTAAGAAATAAGTAAGCTATTTGACGCAAAAAAGTTATGACGTCATAGCTCAGTTTTTCATACAAATTTCATAGAAAATTATCGTTTTTGACGTTTGGATAAAAGTATTGAACTTGACTAGTTGGAAACTACCGTATTCTACATACGCATGTGTATAAAGAAAAGGTCGGCAACGCACTCGTAACTCCTTTTTTGTTGCGGGTGTCCATGGGCGGCGCTGATCTCTTACCACCAGGTGACCCATATGGTCGTTTGCCTCCTATTCCATAAAAAAACTACTCCGTAACTTCTCCTGCTCCAGGCCGAGGCCACGATACCTTAATACCCTTGACCCCACTACCCCAGTTTTGCTCGCTACAGATTTCGCTGCAGAACCCTAAAAAAATCGTGTTAATACCATTAATTAGTGCCACTAAAATATAGGCGACGACGCCCCGCGGTCACAGGAATGGCACTTTGACGGCAGTCACTTTAATGGCACTTAGTGCCACTAAATGTGGCACCACTTAGGTAATGGTTAAAGTGCTCGGCACTAAGATGTGGGAGCGCGTTTGATTTTCTCGGTTTTGTGGTTTTGATAAGGGGTGTATTTGTGTAGTAGTTCTTACTTTGTATTAAAACTACCTTCTCTTTCGGTTTCATTCCCTACTCGGCTCCTATAGATCGTAGCGTGATGTTTTATAGCCTATAGCACTCAGGAACATTGTAGCTTTCTATCAGTGAAAGAATTTTGGAATTCCGACTAGCGCTTCCTAAGATTACCCCCTACATACAAACTTACAAATTTTACCTCTTTATAATACTAGGTTGTAAAGTCGTAATATTATTTTTTATGTGCTTAGACAGCAAACTAGGATACGGATTACCTGATGGTAAGCAATCAGCAGCACCCATGGACACTCGTTATACCAGGTGTGTTGCAAGAACGTTCATTTTGGGTACAAGGGGTTTCGGGAATTTAGGGATTGGAGAGGAAAAGGGGTCGGGACTGTTTTTCCGTGTCACATAAAAATGCCAAAAAAGCAATCTAAATAAAATAATATATGTCACTTAAATGTTTTTTTTTCTTTTGTTTCAGAGACCTTCAAGGCAACAATATAACGATAGTCTTTCAGAGCGATTTCCAAAACCTGAAGGATTTGAAAACATTGTAAGTATAAAAAATTGAAAGAAACATTTTTTTTGTGTTTAAAAAAATATGTGTTTCGTTCGAGTTGTCTCGCACGTTAGAAATTAGTCTTTTACTTATAAATACAAAAGCTATAAGCGATGTATTATTCTGGTATAAATAATAATATCTCAAAATCAACAGAACTAATCAGAACGTCAATAGAAATTTAAAAAAGTAGAATAAACATTTTTTCTCATTTATTTTATTGTATTTTGTGTTCTTTTTCAGACAATTATCAGAAAACCTTATTCACACAATCGAGAGAGATGCCTTCTTAGAGCTGAACGCTTTGGAACGACTGTAAGTAAAATTACTATATTATAAATATCTCAAAAAAATATATATAAAATGTACCTAAATACAATGAAAAAAACCAACCTATTCTTGTAGAAAGAATGCAATTAAAAACTTCATTACAAAGTTACGTCGCGCAGCAGAACGTGAGGTTCCAATTTCAAAACGAACCAATCAGGATAGCTGATTGCGTTCGTTCCGTTAGCTGTGACTTTACAGCAACGTCTTTGTAGCGTTTCTTAACCTTTTATTTTACAACTCAAATAAAAAAAAAACTATAACAGCTTTCAAAGTTTATATAATTTTATCAGAAAATAAGTTAAAAATAGAGAATATTTTTGAATTCACTTAAATGTTTATATCTATATATTTATGACATTGTTACGGAACGAGCTGTCAAAAAAATCCAAGATGGCTTCCTGTTAATGTTAAGCGACCCAGGTTAAGAGACGCTGGTGTATATTTACATTTAATTACAGGAGACTGAACAATAATCGTCTGGGGCATTTACCAGAGGGGCTATTTTTGAGATTGAGGCACCTACAGAGATTGTGAGTAGTTGGCCTTATGAGGTCAATGGTGTGGTCCCTGTTGGTCCTTCGGTATTGGTGTTCTTACCCCTGGATGGTGCTGTGCTATGGTGATGTCAAAATATCCAACTAAAAAATCTCTTATATCTTCAACACTTCCAAATAATAATTGGATATAAAAATCTTGAGAGTTTAATATAACTTAAAAACGTTCGATATTCATTTCTCAAATACAATTTTTCGAAATTACCCTACTTTAATTTTGTATCATTTACAATAACAAAAAAAATCTCAGTTATAGATACCATATCTTTAGTCAATACCAATCACGATCATGATTAAATCTAGCTCTTAATAAGTCAAGCCAAACTTTTTTCCATCTATGTTTTAATTTTGGCTTGCATATGCAAGCCCATTTTTGGCAGGGTCCAAGGTCCAAGTCTTAGATGTTAAATTCTTCACAGGAGGACATAGTTTAACTTTATACATATACATTATGTGACTTTAATGGCTAAAAATTACTGAAAAGAAAGATATATCTTTTGTCAATAAAGATTGACAAGTCACAAGAATTATTTAAGTCACGATTTTTTAGTATTTTTTTTCCAAATTCTAACCGTTATGGGTATTTTTCTCAACATTATTTTTTGTTTCGTATTCTGTCTACAAAAAAACATAGACACATCAAATTTATCATTGTAGTAGTGTAAGACGGCCACTTCTCTGCAGAAATAGAAAATCGTTTTCATAAATATTTAAAGACATATTAATTTGGGATTTTTGACATCACCCTCAACTTTATGACGTCACAGCATACGTCTCCCCAACCCATAAGCTTCTGCCTAAACCGGGTTCTTCGATGTCTATATAAACTTTTTGTTTAATCAATCCTCTTTTTTAATTTTCCACCCAGAGCCGCTAGCATATGTACCTTATAATACCTACATTACATTGTAACAAAAAAAAATGTTTTTTACATTTTATTTTATGGCGATTTTTATGAGATTATTTTTAACTAAAGATTAACAAAGATTGTTTTGTGTAAAATCTTACCAAAAAGTTCCAAAATTATTAATTTAAAGTTATACTTACTACATAAATTAGTTTCTTGTTTGTTCCATTTTTTGTTCTAGACTAGCCTGAAACAAAACTTCGACACAACATAATTCAGAGGACTTAGAGCAACTTTATCCTCTAAATTATGTTGTATCCGAATTATACAATTCATATCATGACTTAAGCTGTGAATGTAAAAAAATCCAAATAATTTTCATTTAACGATTACATTCAAAATAAACCTCAATAAATAATAAAACAAAAATAATTCAGTAACAGCTCTACAAAAACAATAAAATACAACTTGTTACAATAAAAAAAAACTCATAAAAATGTTGTTAAAAATCGCCATAAAATGTCCCCATAGCTAACAGTGTTCGCTTCACCCATTTCATGAGCTTGGCTGCTACGGTGTGACCCCCAAACCAATAGGGCTAACCCACCCCCGTAACATTGCGCTTTGTACAGAAAAAAATAGCAAAAAAAAGGCAAAACAAAAAGTAATTTTAACAAAAAAATTATTACTTATGTGAAATTAACAACGAAAATATTTTAATTTTAACAAAAAATGTGAATATTAGCTACTTACAAGAAAATATAAAAAGAAATAATTTTTACACATGTTTTTTTTTTAACAAATTCATATTCTGTATTAACAATAACTATTTTACTGACGTTTTTTGGGACTTATTCATGTTTCAATATGGACCAATAAGGTTGGTTTGATATAAAAAAAAAGTTTAACAAAAAAGTTTTGACCAAGAAATATTTTGTAGCATACCTATTAACTTCTTTATACTACATAATTTTTCAGTAAGAAAATGTTTTAAGAAACGCTTTGGATCTTTATGGCATATTACCTCGATTTATTTTTAGTTTTTTTTTCATATTATAGCTCGATACTGTTATATCGGTACTATGATGACATTGATATTACATGTATACTTATTAGTGTTAAATGACATGCATTTATTTACACAATAAATACCTACTTAATAACCGAAATCGAGAATACAAAAAACCTAAGCAAATCATTTTATTTCCGCTGCCAAATTGAAGAAATTAAGCGTTACTGATTTTAATAAACAAAACGACATACAAAAGTGTATCTAGTTAAGTTTAAAAAATAATTTAGAGAGACGAAAAGAAAGAATTATATGAATTAATATATACTTAGGGCTGATTTTTCAATAGTTAGATAAAAGTTACCTGGGGAATAATTATGATGCTGTCGCGTCACAATGTTTGTATAAGACAGTGACAGCAACAATTTTATTCCTCGGATAACATTTGTCTGGCTATTGAAAACCAGCCCTTAATTAAGTTTTCGGTCCTTGATACTACCCTTGTGGCTTAAACGCTCCAAACTGCTCTATTATTTTATTATAAGGGAAAATGATTTATTATAAAAAAATATTTATATTTTGTGCCCTTTTTTAACCAAAGATAAAATTGTAACTATTCAAAAATGTAGAACATTATTAGAATTGAATTCATTATGTACATAAGACAGTTGACAGAATCCAAGATGGCTACCTCTGTGACGGCTTTCGGTCACATTATAGTGAAATTTATGCGAGATTACGTTCCCCGCCGTGATTTGGAATTAATTATAAAATGGCGTACATTATGTAGATATAATATTCATGTCATGATGTCATAGGTATATGTAATATAGGTACTTCATAAGGGATCTATCTATATAGGTCATTTTTTTTTATCCTAGTTCGGCAAATGAGCAGACGGATTACCTGATGGTAAGCAATCAGCGCCACCCATGGACACTCGTTATACTAAAGACGTAACTACAAGTGCGTTCCCGACCTCTTGTATGTTGTTAACGATTCAAGGAAAGGGGATTTGGAGTTCACGGCGAAACACAATATACATAGGTATTGATTCACGCCGGTTTTCTGCAAAACTTTGGAATGATCTTCCGGCAGCGGTATTCCCGAACCAATACGACTTTCAAACCTTCAAGAAACGAGCGTACTCCTTCTTAAAAGGCCGGCAACGTGCCTGTGGCTCCTCTGGTGTTGCAGGTGTCCATGGGCGGCGCCGATCGCTTACCATCAGGTGATCCGTCTGCCTGTTTGCCTGCTATTCCATAAAAAAAATGCCGTGGTAGGATATTCGCGTCTTCGAACACTAAAAATATACTCACATACAAACATATACCTCTTTTAAAACATAAAATACTTAAAGCAAAATCCTTTTCTTGCCATGTACCCTATTTTCTAAGCGAGCTTCAAAAATAAAAGAAAAAAGATGTAACCAACCATATCTTTTTACATTTCTTTTCAAAAGAGCAACTATGAAAGAGCTTTCGCTGTTAGTCAAGCGTGTGAAGGATAAAACATGCATTATACACTGCGAGCCAGAGAAAATGGCGCACTCTATATTTTTACATTTACTTGTGAAGTGAAATTAATGCAAGCTACATTTTCAAGCGAAAAACTAAATGTGGTAATAGTGAAAAGAAATGGTTGTTTTTTGTGCGATAGAGCTGACGGATACGTGATGGTAAGCAATCAACACCCGCAACAAGGGAGGAGTTACAAGTGCGTTGCCAGCTTTTTAGTGATTAGGGTTTCGGTGATTTACGGATTGTGGGAGGGGCAGTAAGATTGGGCCACTGGTATCCTTACACGACGAAACAACGCTGTGATAGTTTTATATTTATTGATAGTGAGGCCTCCGGTCTTTCCGAAGCATAGCTCAGATCAGCTCAAAATGCAGGACCCAAATATATTGTTACTTATCATAATACATTATTTATAACCTTTTTTCAATAAAACCTCATCCCGTCTCGGTAGTCAATAGACTACCACAGACGGGGCCTTACAGGGACGATGTTTAGCCGGGGTTGTGGGACTAGCGCAATAAGGAATCGTGACTTTGTTACAAGTGCATTACCGACCTTTTGGGGATTAGATATTTGGGATAGGGAAAGGATTGGGCCTCCGGTAACCTCAAACACAACGCTTGTGGTTGTTTCACGTCGGTTTTCTGTGAGGCCGTGGTATCACTCCGGTTGAGCCGACCCAGCATGGTTCTCCCACACTTTACTACCTGAAACCGTCTCGCAACCCCTGGCGAGAAAAGTAATTCGATAATTTTCCCCTCGCAAAAAAAATAATCCAGTCGCGTTCCAAATATTTGTGTCCCCCAGTGTAAGAATACAAAGGCGTCTTCTTGCCAGTCACGCGTGGATTATAAGGTTTCCGACACGGGACTGAGCGAAGTAAATGGCTTCCTTCACAATATCAAACGATTTTCAAATAATATATCCATGTATTCACTAGGTACATAGTATAAAACAAAGTCGCTTTCTCTGTCCCTATATCCCTATGTAAGCTTAAATCTTTAAAACTACGCAACGGATTTTGATGCGGCTTTTTAATAGATAGTGTGATTGAA